GAACGCGATGGCCAGGGGGGACAAGCCATTGCGAACGCGATCTACCTTTTGTGAACGCGTAGGCCTTTGGGACGCTGCTTTCGCGATCGCGATAGGCCCTTCGCGAACGCGAAGAAGTTATGCCGAGTGATTTTAAAACAGACCAAAAACAGGAATTTCTTCAAAATTTCATATCTCTTTCACTAGAACTCGGCCTAGGGCGATTTTTGAAGGGGGAATTCAATACCAAATCATAGGTTTGTACTCCTTAACTCATTTCCTTCAATTTCTATCATCACCCATTAGATTCCTAGTCCTAAACCTTGTTCTTTCATGGTAGAATTAGGGATTTTTGGAAGAATTGGAGGGTTTTGCAAATTGGGGATTTAGACCTCGATTTGGGGTCGGATTCCGTAACTAATTACATATTTGGGCTCGGGAGTGAATGGGTGAATGGGTTTTGGTCCGAACCTCGAGTTTTGACCAAGCGAGTCCGGGGTCGATTTTTGACTTTTTAGGGAAAATTTTGGGAAACCTGAATTTATGTATTGAAATTGATTTTTTAGCAATATTTTGATGTTATTAAGTTAATTATGGCTAGATACGAGTGGTTTGGAGGTGGAATCTAGAGGAAAAGCGGTAATTGAGCAGTGAATGGCATATGGCTCGAGGTAAGTGTTGTGTCTAACTTTAACTCGAGGGATTAGGGACCCTTGACTTATTTGCTATGTGAAAATCCATGTGAGTGGCGTATAGGTGAGATGACGGGTACCTATGCGCCGCCAATTTATCTGTTTTGCCTATTTTCTTCCCGTTCTTAGTATATAGTCTTCCCTGCCTTAACTGCTACATGCTTTACTGGTATTTTCATGCTTAATTGCTACTTGTCAGACATTATTTTTCATTGTTGTAGCTACCCCGTAGTTTTATTGTCTAATATTATTTGCTTACGTTGGTTTGTCGATGTTTTATGGTATATTTTGGATCGGTTTCGCTGAGTAGCATTATTTGTGTGAAGTTTTATAATGTACAAGCTTTCCATTTCCTTTGGTTTGAGGTTTAAATAATGTGAAGAGTTTTGAGTTAAATTGTGAAATTTTTGTACTTATTGAGTAATTTATGTTGATATGTGGGATCGGGTTGCGCGCCACAACAGGAGAAATAAGGGTAATATATTGAGGAGAAATAAGGGTGAATTACTATTAAATGGTAGGATCGGATTGCACGCTGCAACAGGAGGAATAAGAGTGATATATTGAGAAGGAATATAGGTGACTTGCTATTATACGGTGGGATCGGGTTGCACACCGCAACAGGAGGAATAAGGGTGGATTGATATGGAGTAATAAGGGTAAATATTCATATTGATATTGATATATGGTGGGATCGGAATGCGCGCCATATCAATTTATGTGTCTATGTATCTTTCTTCTACTGTGTAAGTTATTCGGTAGCTTTGCATATCACTTAAGAATTGTTTATAACTGGATAGTGTCAAGACACTTGAGTTCTGTATTCATTTCTTGCAAGTTACTGCTTTATGTTATCCTGTCCTTCTTTCTGCTTTTATTACATACTGTATGCAGGTAATATTGTAATTGCCCCGCCGTAGCCTCGTCACTACCTCGTCGAGGTTAGACTCGGCACTTACTAGTACATGGGATCGGTTGTACTAATACTGCACTCTGCACTTTCTGTGCAGATTTTGGAGCAGGTAATGGCTGATCGAGAGGTCAGTTGCAGATAGTTTCAACTAGGAGACCCAAGGTAGTCCTGCTGGCGACTGCATGCCTTGGCGCCCCCTTCTACATCTCTACATTACCGTTTTCTTTATTTCCAAAATAGTTATAATTTCTTTCAGACTGATATTTGTAGAAAAGCATAGTGTGTTCGTGAATTGTGACACCAGATCTCTGGGTAGAAGTATTATGTAAACGAAACCGATATCTATACATCTTACATTTATTTCGCTTCATTTTGCATGTTTAGTGATGATTATTAAAAATGGAAAGAAATGGCTAAATAACCTCTAGTGTTGGCTTGTCTGACAAGTGTGATGTTAGACGCTATCACGGTTCCGACGGTGAGAAATTCGGGTCGTGACACTTGTCCCTCCGCCTCAATTGCCATCTCTACCTATGTTCCTACTCGGAGGCACTTATAAAGGACAATTAATCTCCACATAAAATCTAGCATTAGTTCGTCACATAAAAATCAACATTAAGTTGTATAATGTATGGTTGTTATTTTTTGTTTTCCTCATAAACTATATGTGAGATAAAAATATTAGAATTAATTGATGCATAACTTATTCCTAACCAATCGATCCACATCTTTGTCATTATATATATAGAGCTTTAGTATTCCCTCCAATCCAAAATAAGTGATTTTTTGGTTGTTTTCACACACATTAAGAAATTCATCTTTTAACATTAATTAGCAATGAAATTGACCATATTAATCTTTATTATCTCTTTACATAAACACTCCTACCACATACTTCAACATTAATTACTCCAAGGGCAATGTAGGAAACAAATAATTAATTCATTCTTGAAATCTGGAAAAATCACTTATTTTGAACCGCGGGAAAAAAACCAAAAAATTACTTATTTTGGACCGGAGGGAGTATTGAATTAGAGACTTTTATTAATGAATTAGAAAGAAAGTATATCTTGCTTCCTTTACCAATATCACATATCTTACTGTCCCCACACGCAAAACAAATGAGAACATTGGTTTTGAAGCTGGTTTTGCCCTAAATACATGCAAAGGAGATTAGTCAAATTTTAGTGGTCAATAGTGTATTTATGTAAAAGTAAAAGTTGTTATTTTTCCCTTAGAAAACCAGTTTCCTTAGTCTAAATCCACCATAAATATAATGGCGTTTGAACTTTAAACTTCTACCGAGTACTGATAGCCTGATACATAGGGATTAGAGTCATTATATTATTGGATAGAGATAAAATCACAGCATTAACTACGGTCTAAACACAATACTGTAGCATTTATTCTAAAATAATTGACTAGTTGTAAGTCTTCCCCTATGTATTCGCATTGGCATGTGACCATTTTTCGTAACCTGAGCTTCCTCATTTGCTTCCAAATCTCAGATCTCTAATCTTTTACATAATTGTACACACTATATATTTTATTTAGCAACTCTTTCCCTGTCCTTTTTACTATATAATATGCATATTAAACCATCCTGGAACCTTCACTTCACAGTTCATAGGCAGTGGCATTTTTGTAGTCACTTAAATAGGTGATAGTGATACTGATATCAATAGATGTCAGCCCACACTAGCAGCCTGGCATTGACAGTAAGTTCCCAACATTTATTAGAATACATTGCAAATAGTCCCGTTCTTATCAATATATTATCGAAGGTGAGCTTTGGCGTAACTGGTAAAGCTGTTGTCATGTGATCAGGAAGTCACGGGTTCGAGCCGTGGAAACAGCCTCTTGCAGAAATGCAGGGTAAGGCTGCGTAGAATAGATCATTGTGGTCCAGCCCTTTCTCGGACCCTGAGCCTTGGCTTAACTAGTAAAGTTGTTGTCATATGACCACGAGGTCACGGATTCGAAACATGGAAACATGATCTCCTTGTAGAAATGTAGGGTAAGGCTGCGTACAATAGATCATTGTGGTCCAGCCCTTCCTCGGACCCTGAGCCTTGGCGTAACTGGTAATGTTGTTGATATGTTACCGGGAGGTCACGGGTTCGAAACGTGGAAACAACCTCTTGCAGAAATGCAAGGTAAGCCTGCGTATAATAGATCATTGTGGTCCGGCACTTCCTCGGACCCTGAGCCTTGGCGTAACTGGTAAAGTTGTTGTCATGTGACCAAGAGGTCACGCGTTCGAGACGTGGAAACGGCCTCTTGCAGAAATGCAGGGTAAGGCTGCATGCAATAGATCATTGTGGTCCGGCCCTTCCCCGGGCCCTGCACATAACGGGGGGCTTAGTGCAACGGGTTGCCCTTTTTTTTTAATCAATATATTACTAGTCAACTAGTAGTCCATCTTTGTATTCACCTTTGCCATGCTTGCAACATGACTTGGCAGCCCATAATAGTAAGTGTAGTATTATATATGGTTCAATGTTTTTCATAGTTTCATCTTGTAGCTGATCATATGTGCTGCTATTGCCAGAATATTGCAACATTCAATGCCTATATAGGATGTTACTAGTTGAGATCAATCCCATTCAAGAACAATGGGGTGTGCAGTTTCTGTCTACGCGGTTGGAAAAAAGAAGAAGAAGAACATCATTCCTGAAGTCAGCATTTTCGTCCCTTCAATGCGCGTTCCTGTTCAATGTGATCTCCAGAGGACACTTAAGGGTGTGATTCCGAAGGATCTTGTTGATAGACTAACTTCTATAAGGAATCAGATTGTTTTGATCGCGCAAGATACAGGTATGCACTAACAATGGAAACTCTGCTTATGCTTGAATATCACTTGTATCCTATCTTTTGATTAATTTCATTGTATACGTTCGCTAGATGTTTCTGCTATCGATGAATTACAACAAGCTCTCGAGGAGTATTTGTCTCTTCTTGTTGGCCTCACTAAAAAAGGTCTGCACCCTTTTCAAATTTGTGCACTTTATAGTTTGGCTGGGGGTCTATCGAAACAGCCTCTCTACTTTCTAGGTATGGGTAAGATCTGCGTACACAGTATCCTACCCAGACTCCACTTGTGGGATTATACTGGATTTTTTGTTGTTGTTGTTGTATAGTTTGTTACTCATACAATTTTGGTGCTAATCGATGATCATGTCATTTTACAGAATTTGGGCTTCAAGACTTGATTGGATTTAAGTGGAGAAACTTAGAAGATGGGCAAGAGGTTCAATATTTTTTTATCAATTCTTGAATTTCTGTATCTGTTGAGTGGTTGTCATTTGTTGACAAGCTTTATGATCTTTTATTAGCAGGAAATGTCGGTAGCAAACTCCTGGTTTGAATTACTGTCTGTTCTCCACATGATGGCAATGTTAACATTAGTAGAGGCAAATATGAAGTTAATACCAAAAGACAGTGCTATGACTGAACGTGTTGTATCCGGAGGTATTGTAGTTATTAATGTTAATCTTAACCTTAAAATGTGATCAGCGATGATCAACAATGTTTCCTTTTCAGATTGCATGAGGGATGCTGTTGATTTGCTGCTAAAAACAGCAGGTTATTTGGATTTCTGTGTTCAAGATGTTCTTGTCCACCTACCACCTGATGTTAAGTATGTAAATATATGTTCAGCTTTTCTGTCTTATTTTTACACACACACACACACACACACACACACACACACATATATATATATATATATATATATATATATATTCTTTGTCATATTTATTAGGTTATCCTAACTTGACCAGGAACAGATTGCCTAAAGATTTGCATCGGAGTATTCTTGAAGCCACATCAAACCAAGCACTAGCCCAGGTATATGTTACTCGTCGATTAATTGGAATACAAGTTTTGTTTCCTTATACACAATAAAATCCATTGACTGATTCTTGACACTGCTTGATCGATATCTCAGGGAACTGAAATTCAATTAGGTTTGGCTCTTGAAAGTCAGAATGCAACTTTATCAGTGAAGAGGAGGCTGGCATGTGAAGCAGTAAGCTACTATGGACAGGTACTTTAAACTGTGTTTTCTCTTTATTAATGCTGATTTATTTGCTAGATATTCCTTCCCCCCCCCCCCC